TCCTCCATTTCCAGACTTCCAGATACTGTACGCTATTGAATACACTAAACATTACCTGTATGTCTGTTTCCATCCCATGCAGGATGCACAAACTTACTACATGTAAAAACTTTATTTTTACCATTATGATGTTTCTATGTATGTACAGTATTTTGTTTAATTTTGTTTGTTGTTTCAGAATGTAGGTCTTGGTGCAAAGCAAGGAAGGATTCGAAATGCTGCCAACACAATAATGAATGTAAAGCACATTATAGGAAAGTAGTAAGTTTCATACAAAATGCTTTAAGCTGAGTTTACACTTAACAAGTTTTACATAACTAATTGATTTGCCCGTATTATATGGGCATAATTATGTGATGTCACACCCATATATGGGCAAATAATGGGTATTTGTCACTTAAAACTGTCCTCCAGCCTCTGCATGAAACTTTTAATCTGTCAGTACCTCTATGTCAGAGTGGTACGATGTTCACACAGTTTAAAAAAAAAATAAATAACTGTACTACAAGAAGATTAATATTGTTGATTATGTTTTTAGTTTTGATGACCCGTTTGTCCAAACACTCGTTAAGACGAGTCCTTGTAAGATAATTAACAAGAGGAATCTACCACTATTTGAAGTTGAGTCTAATGAAAAGACCATTGTAGTCACCCCGGAAGAAGTATTGGTGCTCATTTTCAAGAAGATGTACAGTAAGTATAAATTATATAATTGTTATTGTTTGTTAAAAAGATGCTGGGTTTTTTTATCCATTTGGGCTGAAATTCTGCAATTCAATTCAATTCACTTTATTGCTTCATAAGCCATCAAGGGCTACTATCCGCTTAAAATATACATATATAGGCCTACAAATAAAAACAAAATACATTGAAAAGAAAAACATATAAAATAAAGCACATGCAATTACTTAGAAAGGGCATTCCGGATGGAACCAATGTTTAATTCATCAGGGTCAAGATTAAGAGATGAAAGAAGACGTAGAGAAAATGGAAGGAAAGATTTATGAAAACGATCGGTTTTAGAAGAAACATTTAAAAATCTGAGGTGACGAGAATTCCTAAGAGCAATGGAAGATTGGCGGCGTGAAGGAAGAAAAGAATAAATATATTTCTTATGACTTTGTATAATCATAGAGTCTATAAAGCATTACATAATTATATTATTCTGGTGATTGCATAAATGCTCAGGTAGGCAACATGCACTAAACCAATGAAAAAAAAAGTAATAATATTGTTAATTATAATAAGAATCATCATCATCATCATCCTATAATGTGCATAAACCTCATATAAGTATATTTACACAGTGTTGGTGGTCAAATATGTTCACTTAAGAACATGAACGGATGTGAATATCGGATATCTTGTCCTTGAATGTGTCGATAGATGGTGAATCAGCAACACGTTGAGTTAGGCTAATTCCACAGATGGATGGTGTCTGGGAAGAATGAGCACTCCCTTAATGTTGTACTGGTTTTTGGTATAATGAGTCTCTATAATGTTAAGAATAAACACAAAAATAATGATGATGATGATGATGACAATAACACTGATGACAACTGATGATGAAACAACAACGATAATAATAAAAAATTTCTGTCCTAAGTAGGATGCATCCTTTTATTTTGTTCACTATGGGTTTTTTTACTTTTTGTTCACAGGTATAGCATCATCTCAAGGTGGATTGGATGTGATGGATGTTGTATTAACAATACCAACTAATTTCACTGGAGAGCAGAGTAACACAATCAGGTACATTTAAATTTCTAGATGGTAGAAATGATCCATTTCAAATATCTCAAGACAAACACACAAATGATGCTGAACATAAATAATAAGTCTGAGCATCATAACCACTAGAGCTCCACTCGAACATAACAGCCACCCTCTTGCAGGAACACAAGTAAAGCAGAATCATGCCACACAATGTTCTTGCTGTCTTGACGTATAAACTTGGATTTTTTTTAACTTATAAACTACAGGAAAGCGGCAAGTGCTGCAGGCTTCAAAGTGTGCCGGATAATCAATGAGCCATCGGCAGCAGCATTAGCCTACGATATTGGACAGGACACCTCAGCTGAAATCAGGTACACTGAATTACCAAGCCCATCTTCAGGGTTGTAGCTGTAGAAAACTAAGGGTGGAAGGTAGACATTTTAAGGTTAGGTGGGTGATAACATGCTAAACTCTAAATATAGTAATAAGAGTGGATTTTAACAATGGTTAAGAGAGTTAATGAATGTGGGGGGAGGGGAAGGAAATTAGCTTTAGACTGAGTTGAAAGATCCTAGGCTGGGTGGCACCCACCCACCATAACTACATCTCTGCAATTTCGACCTAAAAGTTGCATGTATAGTGGATTTAGTAATACATCTAATATAGCTTATTATTTGGGTGATTACGTTATTTATTTCATAATAAAAATATGTATGTTTATATTTTATCCTAGTAATGTATTAGTGTATCGACTTGGTGGTACGTCATTAAGTGTAGTGGTGCTGAATGTAAATAGCGGCATGTACCGCATCCTGGAATCGCACAATCAAGTGAACTGCGGTGGAACTCATTTTACTAACTCCCTTGTTGAGATATGTGCCGATGAATTCAAAAGGTTTGATTGATTTTTTTTTCTGTTGGTGATAAAAACAAAATGATGATTTCATGCCAAGTTCACATAGGTTTGAAATAATACTTACTATTCATATTAAATTTTAATTTCTTTCAACTTTTAATTTTAACACAGATGGTACATCCTTATTATAACTGTAGAACTGTTTGATCAATAATAAACCAATACAATGAATGTAAACTTACTGCAAGCTTTCGTCGATGTTTTCAACATGACTTCATTTGGCTATGTGAGCTAGCATCCTGGCAGGAAAAGAGCTTGCTCCAGAGGGCAGTGCTCACGCAATGCCGAAAACAGTGGACGGCAGCTCACATATCTTAAAACCTTGAATAGAAGCCCTGGGATTCTTTTTTTAGGACCCTTAAATGGGCTTCTTTTTTAGATGGGCTTGTTTGTGAGGTGGGCTTCTTTTCGAGATTACTTATGCAAACTAACATAGGGGCTTCTTTCCAAAATGAATGCTGTAAATATTTGGAACTGCTAATATACAACATTTTTCAACTATGGAATTCAAAATTATGTTTTAATATTTTTCAACTTTTACCCATGCTATTACAATAAAATAATATTGATACTGATGACACATTATCATAATTGTCAAAGATAACGCACATATGTTTCGCATTGATCATTTATGGTATATCGGATTACAAAACTATGGAGGGTATTATCATATGATGTAAGTATCTATAGTGACGCAAAGCTAACTTTCGGCCACTCGATCGCATGTTGCAAAAATCAATTGGAAACACATGTAAAACTAAAATAAACGGCAGTAAGTCAATTTATATATTCTAAAAATACTTTATTATGGTACAATATCATTTTTTCTACATATATATAAGCTTTCACGAATTTTAGTTGATTAAAAATACTCAAAATTGATATTAATTTACAATCGATCATTTAATGAGTAGAATTCACTTATTTTTATGGAAAAAAATATATATTCATATATAATCACTTTTTTTTAATAGCTACAAGTTTGTATTAAAAATTTGTGTTCATATGACTAGTTGAGTCTTTATTTTACAAGAATATGCTATACACAATACTGATATAATTTCTGTTTTTTTATATTATAGATTTTATTGTGACCAATAAATGGATGCCCACAGTGAATACTTAGACTTGATGTGTAGGTTGTGGGGGAGAGAATAAAGGGTGTACATGCCCGAATGTGGTGTAAATGAAAGGAGACGCCACAAACATACATTACAATGACAATAAAATATATTAATCCAGCAGTAGGGCATGTAGGAAAATGAAATGCTGGACATAAAAACTCAGACATGAGCCCGCAGTGCTAGTTCTACTCCATATTTTTTTAAATATGATAAAAAAAAAATACATAAGATCAAAATATAATTGTAGGCTAACAGAATTCAAAAACGATGAAAACATTCGTTTACGAAAAACCCATACTGCCACAACCCGAAGCAACCTTGATTACGCAGCGTGTATCTCGGTAACTGCCACCATTTTGTTTTGTCATTTATTTACCAGTCTTTCTATTCGACTGGTCATCTTCGTTAAGTAGAATTTTACAAAAAACAAAGAACAACCAGAACAAACCAGAAAGTCAAAGAACTACCAGCCAAATACGGCCATTTATATAGGCAACCAGGCACGTTTTTTTTCCTGCAAGGCAGTTGGTCATGAATATGTATGAGTTCCGATCGACTAACATTATTTTATATTATTTTGTTTCGGATAATATAAATTATTTTATAAAAGCCTAATTTTGATTCGCATCCGTCATATACAGGCGATTTGATTTTTTTGGAAATTGTGCCAAATTTGTAAACAAATCATGAATTTAAAATATGGATTGAGGGCGCTATAATACTTCTGACTATAATGTAAGCACAAACTCGAAAGCCCATGCTATCTTGATTATAAGCCCATGGGCATCTTCGAGAGAAAGGCTTCTTTTCGAGATTACTTTTGCAAACTAAAGAGGGGGCTTCTTTTCAAGATGGGATTCTTGAGATTAAGCCCATTGGGCTTCTGTTCAAAGTTTTACGGTAGAAGCCTGATAACAGTTCTACAGTTATAATAAGCAAACCAGATGAAACTATTCGAATACCTTTATTATACCTATAAAGCAGACACAAAGGAAATAATAATGAACATAATTCCTAATTTTCTCTGTAGGTCATGGAGAGCAGATGTACGTGAAAACAAACGTGGTATGGCAAAGTTGGCGAATGCGTGCGAGACCTGTAAGCATGTATTATCAACGTTGAACTCGGCCTCAACGTTTGTTGAGTCGGTTCACGAAGGCATCGACTTCCAGAATAAAATATCTAGGTAAATATATAAATTATAATTTAGACTATACTATACATTATAAACTTTATATCAGTTATATTATTTTTATTGACTGCAATATTCTTTTAAAGAATAGAAATTATAATGATACTAATGCTAATTACTATTTTAGTTGAGTGTATTCCATGTGGCTGAAGGGTATAATTAGTTACTAAATATCATTTTTATCTTAAGGGCCAAGTTAGAATCTTTGATACAGAGTCATCTTCAAATGTGTCTACAACCAGTTGACAAAGTTCTGGAATCAGCTAATATGACTGCTGCAGATATACACAAAGTAAGTGATCTGAACATTTGAGGCATGTCGTGGAAAATGGTTAAGTTGTCGCACAGACCAGTATTGAGTAAAGGAGCAATAAAGTATGGTAGCCCAAAAAATTGCCTAAAAATCAAATTTTTTTTTCACTATAGATCAACACTTTAATGTCTTATTAATCATGTCCCAAAGTATTAGTTCTGGAAGTGATCAACAAATCGTTTATTTAATGTTATTTAGATAGTTAATTCTATTAAACAATGTATGCACAAATAACTTTGGAAGGCAATTACTCAAAATCATGTTTATCTTGACTCTAAGAGTGCTGTAATTTCACTTTCCAATAACTTATGCTTGAAATGTCCAATTTGAATGAATGACCCCTCATTTTAAAGATCACATACTCAGGTATCTGAAAATACTAATAACTTGAATTTCAATTTCTGCTACAACTTAGCCATTTTGCCACAACGTGCCTCATTTTTGCAAGAGCGTCGCTGTTCTAACCACACAAGTTTTAATCCAGGCACTCAGCGCATCGTACAACAGTGGTACGACCGTCGTATAACAAATCCAACTGCACACAATCTGCTGATTTTCAGTGGCAGTCTGAAAAGTTTGTCATTAAAAACGATCCGATGCGCATGTTGTGGCATTGCATTCTCCGTTGAATTGCCTTGGCCGACCGTTGGATGTTGGCCGACCATTGGAAGCGTTGAGTGCTTGGCTTTACGTGACAAATATCTATGATTTGCATATGTTTGAGTGTGATATTGCATCATCACGCCCATATATGGGCATAAAAAATATATATGTCACTAAAATCCGTAAAGTTTGGACAGAGTTTTAAGTGGTTGTGATGCAGTGTAGGATGTTTATATTTTCTCTATGATTGCCAGGATTAAAGGGGATTCACACTGAATTCCCAACATGTAAGCAGTATGATGGCCTTCAATAAGGCATTTTGTGTATTATGTATTTGTTAATCTACTAAATTTTAATTGGCTAGGTTGTTGTAGTAGGAGGCTCCACTAGAATACCAAAGTTACAACAGCTACTACGTGCTAAGTTCCCTGAAGCCGAGATGCTTAATACATTAGCACCGGAAGAAGTCATAGCGATAGGTGCTGCCAAACAGGCTAGTTGATTCATTTCATTTTTCTAACACTCTCAACATTTTCTTAGTTTAATTGATCTGCAAATCTGAGACATTTTAATTAATAGAGTCAAATGGCCGAGCGGTTAAGGCAGGTGTGTCGCTATCTACATCCATAATATTGGCGCTGGGCCTATGGTTCTGTTGGTGGAACAAGTCTTCTTGGTTAAGAATTATAAACCGTAGGCCCAGTGTACACAATTGGCTTTCGAGACGAGTTGGGGGTTACCCCAGTGTACAGGTCCATACAGCCCCTGTTACCCTGCAGTTATGGATCATGAGGTCCTTTGCAAGATGTACCTACCTACCTACCTACCTATCTATGTGAACGTAAACTTTAATCATTTTGCCCAACAAGTCAATAACATATCCTATATAGTACTTGTCAAAAACCTACTACTGTATATATTTTAATTTTACTCAATTCTAATGAATCTGTGACACCAATTCAAGGCTGTTTCAGTCTAAGGACCACAATAGAAATAAGTTGTCAATTTCGGTACTTTATTGTGTTTTTATCCTTTCAATATGATGTTTCTTGTCTTTGTTTTACGTACATATTCAGAATAAAGAAATTAAATAAATAAAAAATACAAAAATAATATTCTCATGTACAAATGGTTCATTTTTGCTGAAGGTGTTATCTGTTGTTTTGGTGCACTGGCTTGTGAAATCTCCTCACTGTTTATTTCACTTATTTTCAGGCTGCACTTATCTCTGGGTATGAAGATATTCAATTATTAGACTTAGAATCAGTGAAAGGAGAATGCATTCCTTATTCTCTTTTAGTGAAGGTAAGCTTCTGTGTATACACCATTTTATTGGGTCTATTTTGAAACAGATGAACACTGGTAACTACGTAGAGCAAAATACCTAAGCATCTGGATGTTCCACAGTGGTAGGTTTTTGGAAATTTTCATTTCAAATTTAGCGAAAGTGGTGTATATTGTTTTAAATTTCACAAGTACCAGGAGATTTGGACAAATAAAGTTTTTGAATTTGAATGTATGTGGCATGTTAAGTTAGTACACATAGTAAAAAGATTGAAATGGAGTCATTCACCCACTGCTGCACAGGTGGGCTAGCATCCCGACAATATTTTTTTTGACCATTTTAATGCCACCCCTGTACTATTTTAATCAAAATACAGTATGCAAAATTCATTTGTTTATTGAGATTGAAAACAATTTTTTTAGGTATCAAATTCAGATGAAACTAGTCTTCAAACAGCCGTTCCAAAGAATACCTACATTCCTGTGAGGCGACAACATACATACACTATACAGCAAGACAAATCATCAGTCTGTATTGGAGTATATGTTGGTGAAGAGGGCAGCACAGAGGAGGAATGTACCTTAGTAGCAAATGTAAATATTCATTTTGTTTAAGATATGCATATTTCACATTGTTATAATTATTCAGCCATGAAATTTCCCCGTAGTAAGATAAATAAAGTCTCCTTTGTTTTTTAAACCATATTCCACTGACTCTCAACATTGAGGACAGTGGTCTTTGTCATTTCCTCCATAAATTGTCAGGGTAAAATGAATAAATAATTGAAAAGGAATTATAAGGATCTAAACTGAATAGACAAATTCCAAAAAAACTCATTTTTCCCTTTAATTCCACCCCTGGGAATGAAAAATTTGATGTATTCTTTTTTAATTATTCAGCTTGTACTGACTGATCTTCCAACTGACTGTCAGAAAGAAAAACAGGTGACAACAGTGTTTCACTACCGCCGGTAAGTGAGTCTATTTTGTGAACACCACTTAAATGTATATCACTAATTTTTCTTTGTGGTCACAATGGAAAGTGAATGAGGATGCATGTGTGGTAATAAACATAGATAGAAGGTGCAACGTCATGAATGTGTTGAAGGAAGTCGCCAATGTGGCCATCCAAAACTTCATTGGGCAGATGGAATTAGGAACCTCACAGGGATGTCCGTTAATGCAGCCTTTAGAACAGCATGGAGTGGAAGGGTCACAAAGGTTCAGCCGTGATTGATTCATGGGATAACAACGAGCATAAATGACTTTATTAATAGTCCAGCAGTAGTCCCAGGTGCTTGGACAATGGAATGTTTTCTATGTTCAAATAACTTATAAAATAATCAATCCAGACTCTAAAATAGAGTATTTAATCAATTAAATATAATGGACAATATACACACACTTGTAAAAAAATACATGTGCCCACACCATTTAATTAGCTGTGATGTCTTGGACAGTATACGTACAGATATCAAACAATGCAGTGTTTGTTTTTTTAATCATTATTGTTTCTTATTCAGGGAAGGTTCAATCCACATCACTTGTACTGAAGTTGTGTCTGGGAAGTCATCTGGTGTTACCATTGAAACAGGAGAACCTGCTGCTGTTGAAGAACCTAGCAAGGTTGTTAATGAGGAATTAAATTCAGCTGGAGCTCCAGAACAATAACGATAACTAATGGTTGCGACACTGACTAGCGACAAGCCTAGTATTACATGTTGAACTATAGTTTCATAAAAAACTGTTGAGAAGGGAGATTTCCGGGAGAGTTAATGTTACTTCAAAGAAACAAAATACTACTGTAAATCACACAATGAAGGCAAAACTACTTACTTTGAAATAATTGCACCAAGCAAGAACACCACTGCCAACCTAGGTAGCTGGTATTAGAAATTTGGTTACATCACAATACTGCATGTAGTACTGTATTTCCATATTTAATATAAATATGGAAAAGAATACGAAATGATTTGCTTTGTATAAATATTTTATAAACAGAATTCGGCTATTTCAGCAAAAGAAGAAATATAAACTGGACGTTATTATTTTTGTTTATTTCATCATTTGTATCATCAGTAAAACTTTTGACAATACAACATGAACTCTTAAGATTTATCTCCTGACCATTGATAAATGGTGCTAATTGTAACATTGTACTAATCTGTCATCTTTGTGACATATTTATTCCACTAAAGACTAGATAAAATTCTTCCAAGTATGGTAAAGTTGGATATATATGTCCATATTGTTGAAATCTATACCTGATCATCAATACTAATTTTATTAAATGCACATTTGAAGTTTAAAATTATTTTTTGCGAAATGGTACAAACAGGAATCTGCAGTGGCGCTAGTGGTTGGTGAGACATAATCTCCGCCATCGGACAGGCAAATCCAACTTCAGACCAAAAAGAGGGAAAAACTTCTAAAATTTTCTAAGGGCATAATAATGGGATAAGGAAACCCTTTTTATAGTTTGATTCAGTTCACTGTTGGGAATCCTGTCTCAGTTGTTCTTGTGTCTTGTGTTTTTTTTTTGGTATGTGCCATGAAATGAGAATGGAACAGTTTTCCCTACTCTTCTTGATACACCCCCTATTCTTGTTACATGCATAATGAACCTTTCTGGTGTCAATCAATCTTAACAATTGGAACAGAGCCGGGAGTATGTGCATGTCCTACAAATATGTTAACGGTTATGCTGTTATTTTGTGGGATTTTAGCAACAATGTCCAAGGGATGGGGCTTATTGGAATGGCCCATTATGCATGATATATAAATATTGGCTTATCAGGATTACTTTGATCATGTGACTTAGATACATAAAAAATTATTATCAAGGACACTCAGTTTTTGAAGTTTTGATCCCTGAGATCATTTTCCATTGTGAAGTGCAGTGCATTCACAGATTCATAATGGTGGCATTATATCTTACCAGGGTATTTCAATAAATATTGAAATATAATTGTGAGCTTGCATCAGTCATTTCTTCATAGTTTATGGGAGGACTTGAAGGGGGTGGGGGGGAAGAGTCGGTCTCACTCTCCCTTTTCGGAAAGTAAAAAAAAAAATAAAAAATTAAGAAAAAGAAATTAATGATCGCCCAAAACGCCTCAGAGGATATTTCCAGACGTCTCGAAAACAAAAATACCCGGGACCCGCTAGGGCTAGTGTTGTTTCTCGATTGGCACCACTGGGGGGGGGGGACATGCCTCCCCTCCCTTCTCCCCCTTATATTTCGGATATCTCTGGATCCGCCCCTGTAATAATAACTAAGTATTCATTTATACCTATCTGAAGATAATAGTATTATTAGTTATATTTTTTTGTTTTCTTGTAAATTATGATAATGAAACACCGTATCCGAACACACTAAGAGAATCATATTTCATTTCAATACTATACTTTGTTTTCATTACAAATTTATCCAATTCTGGTGATCACTACTGTACTGTATCACTAATTAAACAATAAAATAAATTTAAATCTGGAATAAAAACATGAAAAATAGGATTATGGACCTCTGAGTGCCCAGAAATTGCACTCATGTACCTTTAAAATCTTACCAAAAATTCATATCAACAATATAATACAACAATTATTTTTCTTAATACAATTTAGGAGTGTGCAATCGCACCCTCTGCATCCCCCTCCCCCTTCCTCGCATCCGCCCCAGCTGAACTACCATTGTGTGATGATGGGCATTTAAGCGTTGTCGCTTGAGTCTAGGAACCTCGACCAAAAATTGCCCTTCAAGTTCTTTGATCTGTTTCAAGAAGCAGCTTACGCGAATCACCAGGAGTGACGCGCACGTTCTAGGCGCATTCGAAATGCGTACGCGACCAAAAAGGCCATAACAACGTTTGTCTTGTCACTGAAAACCTAACAACAACCCAAAAACAAACCAAATCTAGAATTGACACTCTACAGTTGGTTAAAATTTTGCTTGTCAGAATTTCACTTGACTTACTCTTCAGAAACGACTTTAAAAGAGAACTCGCAAAACGATTTTTTTTTTTTGAGGGGATTTTTCATATTTCATTAGAAAATGAATCAATTTTATTATCCTTATTTTGGAATTTTTTATAAAGTTATAGGTAATTTACGAATTCGCCAATGACGTCATTGGCGAATAAAGTAACCCTAGATCGTATTGCCGCTGGCGGCGCTATACATTACTTGCTGTGTT